AAATCTATTCATTCCAAAATACACCAATTTAAAAATGCCAACGAAATCAGACATTGAAGTAATGTCTCGTATTACATTTTGTAAATTGTGAAATTAAGAAATCGGTCTTCACCTCCGTCTAACTAATTTTATTTAATTATTTCTACATGATATCATTGTGTATCACGGAATAGGTAACGTAAGTTGAACGTTTGTAAAACAGATCCACCACACCAAACCTCAACAGCTTCAAAATCTCACCATATTTAATTTTTTTCGTGAAAATATTGCTACGTAGTTTGTTATTTTAAACACGAATACCTCTCGATAGGTTGGTTTTATGAGTTGTATGGGATTTTAAGTGAAACAGCACAATTTATGCAAATGAGTGTACACCCACACAGACGACTTCATGAAACACGTATAAGAAATACATCAAAGGGAGGATGGTGGGCGTTTCTTTGCCTCAAAGGAGGACTTCAAACATATGTCCAAATTTGACAACATATGGAAATTGGATTTCTCTCGATATTTCCGGTCTAAGCTTCATCAGGACCAGTGGAATACAGTAAACAATAACTTGTGGGATCCAAGCGTAAGTATAAACACTATGAAAGGCTGGTTAAACGTAAATACATAAGATCAGAAGGAGACTGTATCATTCTGTTACGTAGAAGGGATCGGATTGTCCGAGAAATCATTTGAAGTTGATTTTTTTGTCACATTTCAAAGCATTAGATGGTGTGGATGACGTTAATATTTTGGTTGATATGTCATCAGATTTTCCAGACTACGATAATCTAAAGGTGTACGACGAATTAGATACTCCAGTTACAAATACTGAAGTAATGAAGGTGTTAAAACGTGCCAAATTAGGTCAATCTCCCGGCATCGATAACATTCTTACCGATTTTTTTTGGTCATATATAAAGAGACATTCGCTCCTATTCTGTCACAATTATTTAATATCATTTTTTATATGGGCGTCTTTCCCTCAGTCTGGTCAAGGGGTATTATTTTCTCTTTGTCCAAATAAGGTGATGCCAATGTTACAAATGATTACAGAGGAATCACTTTGGTAAGTTGTTTATCTTAGTTACTTACTTCCGGGTTAAATAATAGACTACTACAATGGTCTCAGAAGTACAGCATTGTTACCGATGTCCTGTTCGGGTTTAAGTCTGGTTTTGGAAATAATGATGCTAACTTTGCTTTACATGTTGTGACTAAGAAAAATGCTTTCTAAGAACTGTATACTTTACTGCTGTTTTACAATTTGCTATAGTACGGCCTTCGATAGTGTGAATAAAAATTAATTGTTTTTGAAGCTTTTTCATATTGGAGTCAGAGAAAAAAATATTGAATATTTTAAAATCTTTATACGAAGGTTTAAAATCTTGTGTTCGGTATAAGTTTAAATTGTCTGTGTGTGTGTGTGTGTGTGTGTGTGTGTGTGTGTGTGTGTGTGTGCTATATCCCTTTCTTTATACCATGAATGTGAATGACCTTGAAAATTAATTTATAAATACTTCATCTGACGCTTTATCTTTAAGAGACCCTTCTTTGTTTCTCCTTATGTATGCCTATGATACTGTCCTCCTCTCAGATTCTGTCTCTGGCTCGCAGAAAATGTTAAACGCTTTGAGACAGTATAAATGATAACTGGGATCTGACAACACAGAGAAAACAAAAATATTTCAAAATGGTGGAAAATTACGTTCTGGTGAAAACATTCTATGTATTGGTAATAAAATAGAAATTGTTGACAGGTTTAATTATCTTGGTGTATTGCTTAATTTTAATGGTTAGTTTGCAAAAACCCAATTCACAATTGCTGAACAAGGTTGAAAAGGCGTGTATAATGTATAAAGATTTGTAATAATTCGTCACTCTATGTAGAACCGAAACTCTATTTATTTGATATATATGTTTCACCTGTTCTTGATTATGGTTGCGGAACACGGGGCTTTAATGTCGCGGACACAGTAGAAAAAGAACATGTTGATTTTTTAAAAAAAGAATCCTAAATGTAAAAAAAAACAGTACGCCATCTTTTATTCTTTTATGGTATACTCGGAACTAGGACACCTGCCTATGCATATCATCAGGAAATGTCGAATAATGAAATATTAGCTGAAATTAATTTAATGTGATAATTGTGTTCTGAAGTCAATTTATGAAGAAATGGAAGAATGTAACCACAGATACTTTGTATTTCATGTTACTAATATATCAGTTATGTATTGTTATGGATGCCTGTGAGACGTAAGGCTTCAAGTTAAATAAACAATAAACCAGACCTTCATTAATTGATACTACCAAATAAAGAGACCGTCAACACGTGTTCACCAGGAACCGTAAGATTGTTTAGAAACTCACTATCAATTGCTATAATCAAGAAACACTATTTTCGGAAACTTCGTTCACGTGACAACCCAGACTTGTCAGGAAAGTCATATTTGGCTTCTTTTTGAAGATGTGTTGTAATTTATATTTAATACGATAGGAAAAATCTTAACCAAGGTGTTTCAAATCGTTCAATTTCAAAATGCACTAAATTCATAATACCAAAAGAATAAGACAGGGAACTAATGTCGGGTAATACATTTTGTAAATTGTGGTCTTCACATGGGGTGTTCCCATCCGTTTAACAAATTGTTTTCAATATTTTTTACATGATATCATTTTGTATCACGGGACAGGTAACGTATATTAACGTTCGTAAAACAGATCCACTACACCAGAACTCAACAGCTCCAAAATCTCACCATATTTCATTGTTTGTCATTTTAAACATGAATACCTCACGATAGGTTGGTTTTATTCGTTGCATTGAATTTTAAGTAAAACAGCACCATGCAGCAATGACTACACCCACACAGACGACGTCATATTGATATATATTATATTTTAGTAAAATTCCTAAATATGAAAACTGATCAACACATGAAACTATACAATCCTTATAATAACATTTCTCATTACCTTGTAATCTTCCACCTTTACGGAAAACAATAATTTTAAGTTTATCAAGGTTTACAAAGAGATTCCATTCATTACAATATATATCTAGATTATCAAGCAGGTTCATTTCAATTTAACCTGTTATTCAATATAGATGTTAACTTTTTTATAGACAGCTAACAATACTTATTTATCTGAAATTATTTGGATTCAACAAACACCTCTCTTGTGTCTTGTGTACGGGAGTAATCACAGAAATGGACCAGCCAACAGGAAAAAAAAGAAAAAAAAAAAAAAAAAAAAACAGATTCTAAAATATTGTTAAAAGAGTGCACAAAATAGGCAATGCTACCATCTAGACCAGGAGACTTTATAACATTACTTATTTCATCAACAGTGATTGGAACATATAGGTATATCATCAACATGTTCACGTATCATCCCGGACTCTTCATCAGAGTTATCGTTCTTGGAAAAAGTTTTAATATGTTCTTATAGTTATGTTATATCCATATCAGTGTTTTCCTTAGATTTTGGAGAAAAAACATTTTATGAAGTTGCTTAGGATTATCAATTCTCATATATTTCATCATATCACCTTAATGTATTGTATGCTTTTTTGGCTTGATTTAATTTATACCTCATTTTCTTCTTAAACACGGTAGAAGGATTAACAATAATTTTATTCTCATTGCCGACGTAAAAAGTGGATGTTTATAGGACACGTAGCGTTTTTCAATAGTATTAACCAGTGTAGTTACAAACACTATCATTATTATCACTTTGAGTAACAGATTCTGGTACAACAATAGCATTCTGTAAATTAGTTCATTTATAGACAATAGATTTAAACAGGTTTCATTAAATTCATCCTTCAACTTATTGACCTGCTTTCGCTGGCTACTCTCAATGACGTTATCATTAAGTATGACATTTGGATGATTAAGTCTGGACTTCAGTAGATTGTGCAACGGAGCATGACCAGAAGAGACGTTGAAGTTGGAAATATAATATTTTTTTACTATAACGTTAAACAGTGCGTCATTCAACATACAATAGTCAATAGTTCTCGTACTGCTATGCCCAAAATGAGTAAAATCATTTGAAAGTGCATGTCTGTCTGTATGGAATGCGTGTCTTTATAAATATGATTGAGAGTTGCGTGTTGTACTATAGGTAACAAGTTCCCGTCATGAGTAGGAAAGTTCAAATATGTGCTTAAGTATATGCTGGGAATTACCTTTGTCCTGAACTATTAGAGACGCGGGAATCAGTATACGATTGTCCAACAAGGTATCCGCTCGGGGACTGTCGGTCACTCGGGGACTGTCCGTCATTCTGGGACTGGTCTGTCCGTCACTCGGGGACTTTCAGTCACTTGGGGACTGTCCGTCACTCTGGGACTGTCCGTCACTCGGGGACTTTCAGTCACTCGGGGACTGTCCGTCACTCCGGGACTGTCCGTCACTCTGGGACTGGACTGTCCGTCACTCTGGGACTGTCCGTCACTCGGGGACTTTCAGTCACTCGGGGACTGTCCGTCACTCTGGGACTGGTCTGTCCGTCACTCGAGGACTTTCAGTCACTCTGTGACTGTCCGTCACTCTGGGACTGTCCGTCACTCTGGGACTTTCAGTCACTCGGGGACTGTCCGTCACTCTGGGACTTTCAGTCGCTCGGAGACTGTCCGTCACTCTTGGACTTTCAGTCACTCTGGGACTTGTCTGGCCGTCACTCGGGGACTGTCCGTCACTCTGGGACTGTCCGTCACTCGGGGACTTTCAGTCACTCGGGGACTGTCCGTCACTCCGGGACTGTCCGTCACTCTGGGACTGGACTGTCCGTCACTCTGGGACTGTCCGTCACTCTGGGACTGGTCTGTCCGTCACTCTGGGACTTTCAGTCGCTCGGAGACTGTCCGTCACTCTTGGACTTTCAGTCGCTCGGAGACTGTCCGTCACTCAGGGACTGTCCGTCACTCTGGGACTTTCAGTCACTCTGTGACTGGTCTGTCCGTCACTCTGGACTGTCCGTCACTCTGGGTCCGTCACTGTCCGTCACTCCGTCACTCTGGGACTGTCCGTCACTCTGGGACTTTCAGTCGCTCGGAGACTGTCCGTCACTCTGGGACTGTCCGTCACTCTGGGACTGTCCGTCACTCTGGGACTGTCCGTCACTCTGGGACTGTCCGTCACTCTGGGACTTTCAGTCGCTCGGAGACTGTCCGTCACTCTGGGACTGTCCGTCACTCTGGGACTTTCAGTCACTCGGAGACTGTCCGTCACTCTGGGACTGTCCGTCACTCTGGGACTTTCAGTCGCTCGGAGACTGTCCGTCACTCTGGCCGTCACTCTGGGACTTTCAGTCACTCTGAGAAGGCGAGTGCCGTCCCGAAGCGGGGTGCAGTCGCTCTGGGACTGTCCGTCACTCTGGGACTGTCCGTCACTCTGGGACTGTCCGTCACTCTGGGACTGGTCTGTCCGTCACTCGGGAACTTTCAGTCACTCTGGGACTGTCCGTCACTCTTGGACTGTCCGTCACTCTGGGACTTTCAGTCACTCGGAGACTGTCCGTCACTCTGGGACTTTCAGTCACTCTGGGACTGGACTGTCCGTCACTCTGGAACTGTCAGTCACTCTGGGACTGGACTGTCCGTCACTCGGGAACTTCCAGTCACTTCGGGACTTTCAGTCACTCGGGGACTGTCCGTCACTCGGGGACTGGACTGTCCGTCACTCGGGGACTGTCCGTCACTCTGGGACTGGACTGTCCGTCACTCGGGGACTTTCAGTCACTCGGGGACTGTCCGTCACTCGGGGACTTTCAGTCACTCGGGGACTGTCCGTCACTGGGGGACTTTCATTAACTCGGAGACTGTCCCTCATGGATCAGGAATTCTCTTGGCAATCCGACCAGGCTGGTCGTACAAACAAACAACGACGGTGGATTCTCGTTAGAGATGGAATATTTCAATATGAAACCCCGGTAATTATTTTGCAGCATTAGTTTGACAATAACATCTCCTTGAACTTTTTCAAATTAATCTTCATCTAAAAAAATACTAATAAAAAAGTGTGATATTAATTATTTCTAGGGCCGCAAGGAAATTAATCTTGGCGATCGTTTTAGATGTGTTTGCTCTCCATAGTTAAAAGCTTTCAGTGGCATCAGCCCACTACGATGACGACACAGTACTTCTTAAGGAATGAATACAAAAACCAGAATTACATCCGATATGGTAATTTATCCGAACAGTTTTTCTTTAATCACGTCACGAAAGTCAGTATTGTTTACACACTTTTTCCCACTGCCGTTGCCCGTAGGAGCGAACGTTAGTGATCTCACTGTTTACATCAGATCTCACACAGTTTATAACGCTGTTCACGTCAGACCGGAAGTTTGAAATTCCATTGTTGTCGTTGAACCGGAAAATTGAAATTCCATTGCTGTCGTCGAACCGGAAGTGTGCAATCCAACTGTTAGTATCAGACCGGAAGATCGTGATATTAGTGATTACATCAGACCATGGGTCTGTGATTCCGACGTTAAAGTCGGACTAGAGTTTGATTGTTCAACTGTTTATGTCAGACCGGAAGTATGTAATCCAACTGTTTATGTCAGACCGGAAGTATGTAATCCAACTGTTTATGTCAGACCGGAAGTGTGTAATCCAACTGTTTGTGTCAAACCGGAAGATTGTGATCTCTTGTTTATGTCGGATCGGATGTTTGTAATCCCATTGTTTACGTTAGACCGTAAGTGTGATATCCAGTTGTTTGTATAAGATCTCAGCGATTACATCAGACCAGAGGTCTGTGGTCCCAGCGCTCTTAAGCAGACAGACAGTTGATTATCGTCCTGTTTACGTCGGACCAGACGTTTCCGATCCTGTTATTCACGTCGAACCGTACGTTTATGATTCCGTTATTAACGTCGAATGAAGCGAAACTCATTCCATTGTTTATGTCGATGCAGACATTTGTGATCTCATTGTTAACTTCAGCTTTTACACCTTTTATTACACTGTTTACGTCAGACCGGAAGTTTGTGATTGCAGTGTTTACATCAAACCGGATGTTCATTATTCCATAGTTTACACCAGACTGGAAGATTGTAATCGTGGTGTTAACGGCGCTTTAATCTTTCCTCACTTCATACTTGACTTTTTACTTTTTGTATAAAACTCGTGAAACATCGTAATTGACCCGTGTTTCCTTTATTGAACCTCCCTTGACATTCTATTTTGTATGGATCAGCGAAATAACCTAATTGGGAATATCCTTCAACAGCGAAACATTCAAAAAGAGTAAAGCTGATTAGAAAAAGGCAATCCAATGCTGTCGTTTGTGGCCTTGAATTTCCTCCAATTTTGATAATTAAGATGCAAACCATGAGCAGAAAAACAAGAAGGAGCGGTATTTCTTGTGGGATTTCCGGTATATTTTGCTTTCAGACAAATCGATTTTATGTTAACACTATATTTATGGTTTGTTTAATTTAATAGTTTACAACATTTGTAAGCCGCTGCTGGGAACGAAAAAAGTATTTTTGTGAGTTCTTAAGGGAAAAATAGTTTTATGTATACACTGACAATATCATTATCCACCTGTTCTTGGCATTTGAAGACTAGAATTTAGAAAGTGTGGACAAGTAAAGGCTATGGGTTTCAGGGTCTGTTTTCTGGGTTTTTTTTCTCTGAAAGCGAGTTTTTTTCTGCCGTCTCAGTAATTATAAGATAAAGCACGACAAATTGGAATTCAATTACACTTACTATACATTAAATATGTAAATAAAACTGCACATGCAGCCAGTCACGCCCTGTGTTATTACACGTGCGAACAACACAAGTTATGGGTTTTTATATTAAAGCCGCCACGTTGCCTCGACAGAGACACAAGCTTAGTATTAGCATGATCGTGTTGGTTCTAATGACAGATCTGTATAATTTGATTAAATCCCATAGACAGGAAGACATAGCTATATGGAGCAGTATTTTTTTTATTATTTTGGTGAACACGATAATTATACTCATTAATTGCAGTATACACATGTATATATATATATGATAAATGAAGTAATAGGGACAGCACGGACAAGCGAATTGCCAAATTTTCAAGGTAACCTGTCCCTTTATCAAGACAAAAATTTTACATAAATTAGATCACATAAAACAAATACAAAGTTACTTTATAACGGACATAAAACCATCCCAAGTTGTTGTATGGAAGATGGTGATTAAAATATCACAAATGTTTCATGTCAATCTCGGTATATTCTGCAACCTAGACACTGAGCGTATATGTGATAGCAACGAAAACACTTGTCTCACCCCGAGGAAAGTATTCTACCGGTACATCACGGCCACATTCTAAAAATAAGAAAATTCATTGTAAAAATGTTACATGTAAGTAAAGTTACGATAAAAAGTTTTAAAAAAAAGTTAAATGAAAAAAAAAAAAAAAAAAAACAATTAATATGGTCAAATTGTCCTAATAATCGCCAACTCGCCCAAAGAAAATTCGACCCATAAATTGATGAATTGAAAATTTCTACTTCCGGTCTAAGGCTAATAAACGGCGCCATTCTCAAAAAGAAAGGAAAACAGAAAAAGTCACTAAACAGAAAAGTGCAATAAATATAGCAAGGAAATCTATTTATAAAAAAAATCCTGTTTTTTTCCCCATTTTTTTCTTGAAAGTGGGCGGATAGGTGGGTGATACTGCACTAGTTGCCTCAGTGGTAGTTGGAGGCGTACCTGCTGCCACACACATATATATAACAGCAAACCATCATAGGTTTTCGTTCACAATTACGCTCAGTGTCCACAGTGCAAAACATACAGAGATTGATATGAAACATTTTAATCATCATCTTCCATGCAACAACTTCGGATGGTTTTTGTCCCTTTATAAAGGGTCTTCTTCGGCGTCCATCGGCTGGAGGGATTGTGATGTGATTTATGTGATATCTGTGTCTTGATAAAGAGGCAGATTGGCTCGAAATTTGACAATTCACTTGTCCTTACTGTCTTTATTACCTCATTTATCATACATGTATGTATATATAAAATCGGGAATGATGAGGTAATATGTCCGATAATCTCATTGGCCGATGGACACCGAAGTTCCTTTATCAGGAAAAAAGACAAACCAAAAACTCCAAACAATGTCTTAATCTGGTGTGAATCAAAGATAATTACGACATCCGCTGAGCGTATCTACGAGATCACAGAGAAATTGTCTCTCCTTTTGTTGTGTAACACTTCGAGAGGAGAGGTTTATATTAGACGGACAAAAAAAATTGAAGTCAGTGGTTATCGATTGAGTAAATTTGTTCAGAAGACTAAATGATAACACAATCAGATTATAGAACTGTCTACTTCCATAGTAATTACCGTAAATAGCGGTATGCAAGTCGGACAAGACAGATTGAAATATGCCATTTCTTCAACAATTTACCAAGTCATCTGTTAATTTGCAAGTCAAGGACACAGGAAGTTGTCAATAGAAAAACAGACATGGCTAAAGTCAGAGAGAATTGTCTGTATAGGAAAACAGATATGATAAAGTCAGTGAGAGTTGTCTGTATAGGAAAACAGATGTGGTAAAGTCAGTGAGAGTTGTCTGTACAGGAAAACAGATATGGTAAAGTCAGCGAGGTTGTCTGTATAGGAAAACAGATATGATAAAGTCAGAGAGAGTTGTCTGTATAGGAAAACAGATATGGTAAAGTCAGCGAGGTTGTCTGTATAGGAAAACAGATATGGTAAAGTCAGCGAGGTTGTCTGTATAGGAAAACAGATATGATAAAGTCAGTGAGAGTTGTCTGTATAGGAAAACAGATGTGGTAAAGTCAGTGAGAGTTGTCTGTACAGGAAAACAGATATGGTAAAGTCAGCGAGGTTGTCTGTATAGGAAAACAGATATGATAAAGTCAGAGAGAGTTGTCTGTATAGGAAAACAGATATGGTAAAGTCAGCGAGGTTGTCTGTATAGGAAAACAGATATGGTAAAGTCAGCGAGGTTGTCTGTATAGGAAAACAGATATGATAAAGTCAGTGAGAGTTGTCTGTATAGGAAAACAGATGTGGTAAAGTCAGTGAGAGTTGTCTGTACAGGAAAACAGATATGGTAAAGTCAGCGAGGTTGTCTGTATAGGAAAACAGATATGATAAAGTCAGAGAGAGTTGTCTGTATAGGAAAACAGATATGGTAAAATCAGCGAGGTTGTCTGTATAGGAAAACAGATATGATAAAGTCAGAGAGAGTTGTCTGTATAGGAAAACAGATATGGTAAAGTCAAAGAGAGTTGTCTGTACAGGAAATCAAATATGATAAAGTCAGCGAGGTTGTCTGTATAGGAAAACAGATATGGTAAAGTCAGCGAGGTTGTCTGTATAGGAAAACAGATATGATAAAGTCAGAGAGAGTTGTCTGTATAGGAAAACAGATATGGTAAAATCAGCGAGGTTGTCTG